ACTTTGGGAAGGCTGATGTGACTCTGCCCTGGCCAGTCAGAGAAGACTGACTGGCATAAATGTGGGGACGATTGCTTTCAGCTGGTCCCTAACATGGCACTACTCTTGGGCTGCTCTGCCAGTGAACACTGTGCCTTCTTGCATAAAAGCATGACTTCATTTAAAATCACAATTTATTTTTTTCATTGTAAAAGCAAGCCAGGCTCATTATAGAAAGTTTTTGAAAGGCATTGAATTCTAAAGGAAGGAATTCAGCAATAATTTTCATTACTTGAAGAAATCATTATTAACTTCTGTATCCATCTATCTATTATAGATTCCATACTACATACCATATGCATAATATAAATATGCATACATAAATGATATAATAAATATAAAATAAAATATATATATATGTTGTAATAAGGATGTATACTTATCTTTTTTGTTTCTTTTTAAAATCATGCAATCTCGATTCCCCACCTTTTACCTATACTGACCCCCAAAAGCCACTGAGGGGATTGAGTGCTACCATTTTTTGGTCCTGAGGTTTCTTCTCCCATATAACAAAAGGCATCAGACTGAACAGATGACAACCTGTGGACTCACTGATTATGGGACCACCTTGGTGGGAGGGACGGCAAATCTGTTGTTCTCAAGCTTTCAACAACAGCACGTTTTTGTTTTGAATGTGACATTGTCTCTTCTTAATGTCCCCTTTTATCTCCTGCACAAACCTTTCCAAAACTCTTCCCCAGACCTGCAAGACAGGGCTGCATAGAATCAACCCTGCTCTTCCCTAATATCTGCTCACTTCATTTGCATGTGACTGGGTGCCTTTATAATATCATTACCAAGAGAAGGAGACCTGTAACCAGGGCAACCAAGAGAGGTGCTTCTGCACTTCACACTTAGCCAGACTTTCTGCTCCATTTAGTTGGCGTCTGATCCTCTCTTGGCTCCCTTTTCTCTTGAGACTATAAGAATGTAAACACCCAGAGTCTCCCTCAGCTCGTGTCCTTTTCTCCCAGGGCCTCCCTTCAATCTACCAACACAACAGTCTATTTCTGCTGACTAAATATTTCTTCAGTGATTACAAGATTCCCCTTCTGATGATTACTACCCAATATTTAGGGTCATGATGTTTTCTAATGTTATTACAATCTCTAATAATCATTTTTAGCACTGCATAGTATTATATCTAGGGGTGGACCATAACTAATGACCAATTCTCATATTATTGGATTTTAAAGTACTTTTCGTTTTTGTTTGTTTCACCATTATGTTTAGTTCTCTGATGATCATCTTTTGTGGATAATTTTTGTTTTTGTCATTAATATATAGAATTCCTTCTCTATGATAGTCCCCCAGAATTGAAATGAGTGGTCAAGAGGTATATTTGTTAGGCTCTTGAAGCATACTGCTAAGTACCCTCCACAGAGTGTCAATTTACCCTGTATTATGATTGTGTTTATTTCACTTATCGTCACTAGGCATTTTACTTAAAAAAAATTTTTATGAGTAAGAAACAGAATATCACTACAACTTATCTTCTTATGTTATTATATTGAACATATTTCCATGCTTGTTAGGTCATTGCGTATTCTCTTTTGAGGAATTTTTTTTTTATGTAATTACTGACTTGCTTTCTTTTGAATTTTTACAAATGTTTTATGTTTCAAGGCATTCTTTCTATGAGGCCTGGGCAGATGCCCTGTTCTGGACACAGACTATCATACCTTTCAATCAATCGTGACGGATGATCAGATGCCCACATTTTTACCTGTAATGGGTCAAAACAGTCTTGCACTTCTGAGCATAGCTGAATCTTCTCCGAATTTTGGGTGAGGGGCAGTGTCATATGATCTTATATTAGGATTCTTCTGGATCCACAGCTCAGTCAACTGGCTGCACTGGGATAGCATTGCTGTTGGAATTCAGCTAACTATAAAAATAGGCATGCATCTCTGCATTTTTTGTGATAGTGATAGTAATAATCATCAGCTCTTATTCAGTGCCTGCTCTGTGTCAGGCATTTTAATAAGTCCTGAGGGTACTACTGAAAATGGGTCAAAAAATATTCTGTCCTCATGTAACTCATATTCCAGTGAGGGGAGATAAACTATACACTTATAAAGATTTTAGCAATTAAATGATAAAGTAAGTTGGATAACATTATATAATCCTGTAACCATACTATTCAGAAATGAGACAGGAAAGTGGGATGGAAACGGACCTAGGGAAGTCTACTTAGGATTAACAAGAAGTCCCTTCAGAGAAAATGAGGACTGACCGATGCTCAGAAGCCAGCTCAGAATAGTTCTAGGGTAAAAATGTTTCTAGAAGAAGAACGTGTACAAAGACTCTAAACTAGGAACAGCTGTGAAATGTCTGAAGCACAGAAAGAAGGCCCACGTGGCTGTTTTAGATAACTAGGAGGAAGCAACATGATGTTATTAGAGAGATAAGCAGAAGTCAGATCATGGAAGATGTTGTAGGTCATGCTTAGGAGTTTGAATCTTATTTTAATTGGGAGCAAAGTGAGCCCTTTAAATGAAGGAGTGATGTGAAATCATTTATGTTTCTGAAATGTCACTCTGCCTGCTGCAAGGAGGAAGGACTATGGTCAGGATAGTCTAGACTATGCTATTGTCAGAGGCTTAATATTATAAAAATTTATTTCTTGTTCCCACAGTTTCTTAAGCCAAAGATTTCCGAGTCATCCTTGATTTCACTTCCCACATACAAGTCACCTGCTAGTCAGGAGGCCATGTGCCTGAGTTCTAACAAATGGGGATGTTTGCAGAAAGGATTCTTATTTTTGGTCCAGAGCTCATGAAAGTGTGTGTGCTTATCTTGCTGTCTCTTCTTTAGTGCTGTGGAGATTTCATGTTAGGGAAAAGTCACAGGAGAGATGTTGCCTGGATCCCTGAGTCACTGCATGGAGAAGATATTCCCTAGAGGTGACCCAATATCACTGAAATGAGGCTAAGGAAATAGGGGAAAATGTTGATATGTGATGACTGTAACTGCCTTTGACCACATGAGCCTGGCATGGAAATAGTAATAATAGGGAGTCTGGTTACAAAGCAGTTTCAATGATCTAAATGATAATGGTGGCTGGGATCTGGGGGGGCAGCAATAGAGATGGTTCAGTTTCAGGCTATATTTCAGAAGTAGAATCAAAAGCAGGTGACTTTTCTGTGAAAGGTGAAATCAAGGATGACTCTGACATCTTTGGCTTAAGCAGCTAGGTGGAATGATGGTGCTTGTAACTGAGATGAGGAAGAAAATAAAAGATTCGTGTGTGATGTGTGTTTGGGGATCAAAAGTTATATTTTGGATATTTTTGACTCTGCATTGTTTATTAGGTGCTGAAACGGAGATGCCACGTTGGAACCTGAACAGTGGAATCTGGACCAGGGACCAAATCTGATATACTAAGATAAATTTAGAAGTGATCAGAACATTTGTGGATTTTAAAACTCACAAGAACCTGCCATCAATGCTATTATGTTCTCTTTTTTAAAAAGCAAATTTTGAGGCTAAAAAGGGTTAAGTAGCTTGCTCATGGTCCTAATTTGCATGTGACTGAGGTAGGGTTCAAATTCAACTCTGTCCAAACTCATTCTACCATTCCATTCATTTCAGTTGAGTTACAAATCTCCCTACCGAGTATTTGCTCTGAGCCTGGGGTCTCTCCAGGCTACAAAGAGGCAGATACTCACAGGTGCCAACCTTCAGAGGCACACAGTCAAGATGGCCAGATACCCTTTACTCCTGCGCCTTATTTCCCTGCACATGGACTTAAAGCTCATCAGAGGCAGAGCTCTCTGCAAACCTTACAAAGTAGCGTCCTGATTATTTTCTATTTTTACTGTTGTAGAAATAAAGATGCTTTATTTTCATGATTTCAGATGGCTATTTTCAGATCTGAATTACGTGTATAATCTAAAGAAGGATCACTGGTACTGGAAGCAAATATCATTTACCTTCTGATTATAGACTGTGAAGGGAGAAATTAGAAATGGGAAAAACTATCTTTCTCCTCCTACACTGTCTCTGTAACCAGCTTATCTGAGCTCAAGGCTTTTACTATCCTCCTTAACTTGAAGTGGGTTCAAAATCACCACTTCTTGGTTTCTATTTCCTAGTATCATGCCCAGGTTTTATATACTAATCATTTTCAGGGGTAGGATTTAGCCCTCTTATTGTCACCCTGTTTGGGTAATGATAATTGTTTGACTCTGGTGTTGAAGGGAATGAGAGTGTTTGCCATCTGTGCACTGGAGAGACCTCTAAATTGTGGAGCTGAGAGGAAGGGACAGGAAGAAGAAGGTCTGAGACCTGTGAGGTTTCCAGGGTGCACCAGTGTAATGATCTGGTTCCTGAATGTCAAGTAAAATGTCGGGAGAATGCTGCCCTTAAGTGTCTCTTGGTTCTGCGCCTCTTCAGTAGCTCTAGAGTCCAGATGAGATTCCATTACCATGGAAATTAACAGCCGTGGGGGCGTTCATCCTTTCTTTCTCCCTTTGTGATGTAAATAAATGCTTATGCAGACCCTACTGTGTCCAGAAACATTTTAGAAGGAAAGTCCAGTGGACTGGGATTCCGACGTCGTGAGTTGAAAGCTTCCCTAAATGATTTAATAGACACTCAGCAAGTCACACATCCTCTCTGAGGTTCAGTTTCTCCACCTGCAAAATTGAGCACAATAAATCCTGTTCAACTTAACTCACATAACGTTGGTGGCACTCAAATGAGATGTAGTGTGTGACAATGCTTTGTATAATATAAACAAATCTCCCTATTGTGTGCTGTCGGTCTGCCTATTAGATGCTGTGAGAACACAGAGAGGAATGAACCAGCTCATGCCTTTAAGATGAGCACAAGGACAAATGCATGGGAAGCTGTTATTGTTGATGCTGACAAACTACCCCAAAATTTAGTGGCTTAAAACAATAATCATTTTGTCATGTTTCAGAGATTCTGCAGGTCAGACTTTGAGCAGAGCTTACCTGGGTGACGTTTTGCTCCTTGTGGCATCAACTGAGATCACTTTGTGGTACTCAGTTGGCAGATGGGCTGGCTTGGGGAGTTCAAGAGGGCTTCACTTGCATGTCTGGCACCTTGGCAGGGGTGATGGAAGGCTGAGCTCATCTGGAACTATATACCAAGACACCTGTATGTGGCCTCTTCAACATGGTAATCTTAAGGCTGTTGGATTTCTTACATGATGGCTGGCTTCCCCCAAAGCAAGTGTCACAATAGAACCAAGTAGATGTTGCACTGCCATTTAGAATGCAGCCTCAGAGTTCACATAGTGTCACTTCCACCACAATTGATAAATTCCAAGTGGAACCAGTTAAGATTTAATGGAGAGGAGAAGGGTTAGGTTCCACATGTTGATAAGGAAGTGGCAAGGCTATGTTCTGGAAGAGTATATGAGATAGATAATGTTGTTGCTACTCTCAGAAGATACGATCTAAAAGATTCAGTCCTTCCTCTGGCCACAATGATCCATACCCCTCCCCAATGAAAAATATTCTCATTCTTTCCCTCAAGGACCCCAGAGTCTTGCTCCATTTTGGCATTGACACAAAGTCTAGGATCTTATCATCTAAATCAGGTCAAGATGAGTCTGAGGCTCCTTGGGTACAGATGCTTGATTACATCTTCCAAGTCTGGTTCCTCTCAGTCTGAAGACCTCAATCCAAAGACCCAAGTTATCTGATCTCCTTGAATTCAGTATATAAAGGTAAGACAGTGACAGGATAACTGCAATAAACGTTTCCCTCCGTAAGACAGGAGGCACATAGTGATTGCTGGTCCATAGAAATTCTGATATCCACCTGGGCTGTCTTTAGCTCCTTGATTAGGGCCTGTTGCTGCTTCCTGGGAATGATTCTCTGTCTGATCCATCCTCTGAGCTCTTGGTTCTGCCTTCTAAGTCATCTTTGCTTTTCTGTAAAAATGTGTACTCTGATTACAACTGAAGAGTTTCCTTAGCTGCTTCCTGCCCATAGAACTTCAGAGATCTAAGTCTCTTTTCATTTTGCATTCTTTCCATCCCAGTTAGGCTAACCTGGCTGTGCTTCAGTCATTATAATTCTTTTAAAAATTGTGTGGATTTTTAAAGTTTGTTGGTTGTTCACCACATTAGGTGAAAACGAAACCTACGAATCTCTTTTAGATGGGCTCTTCTCTACCTTGCGCTCCCTAACAGGTTGCTGTGGAGTTTTCGAAGTTCTGTTGTCTTTTTTTTTTTAAAGGTTTTTTTTTTTTTTTTTTGAGGAAGATTAGCCCTGAGCTGACATCTGCCAATACTCCTCTTTTTTCTGAGGAAGACTGGCCCTGAACTAACATCTGTGCCTATCTTCCTCTACTTTATATGTGGGACGCCTACCATAGCGTGGGTTGCCAAGTCGTGCCATGTTCGCACCCGGGATCTGAACCGGCGAACCCCGGGCTGCCGAAGTGGAATGTGTGCACATAACTGCTGGGCCACCAGGCCGGCCCCGAGGCTCTGTTGTCTAACAGAGGGTCTGTGACACACAGCTTTCAGATTGTAGAAAGCCATTTGTTTCTTTGAAAGGTTGATGAGACACTACCTTGAGTATTTCTGAGGTCTTGAGAAAGGATTTTACAGTCGCAGCCTTGATTCCATGGGTCGACGTTTTTGGGGTAGCCTGTGGGATTTGATCTGTGAATCCAGAACCTCTGTTATTTTGGAGTTGTCTACTAGAAGAGGCAGGGGGAGAAATAGTTTTACTTTTGGATCTAACAAATCATAGCTTCTCTATATGTTCTCTGAATTTTACTTGAAAACAGATTTCTTCTTTAGCTCATCTGTAAACTATCTATGCATCTATGCTTATGTTGTAGTACACAGCTAAGAGAAAACAAAACATACTTCAAATTCTGCTGGACACTTTCTTAGCCAATCCATCCATTTATTAAGTAGATTTTCTGTTTTCTGTGTTACTGCTGGTGACAGTTTTGCTAAATTTTCTGCCGCTACACAACAAGGGTACCCTTTCCTCTTGCTTGCAGTAATGTTTTCTTCACTTTCCTTTAAACTCTCACAGCCAGTCTCCTTGAGAACCATTTTGCTTGCATTAAAAGTCTCTTTCAGGTCCTTCTGGGTTCCCCTTGCTGCACAGTCCCAAAGCCCATTCCACCTATTTTAAATTTTCTTTATACTGCCAGCACACTTCTGTACTACTATATAACAAACGTCACAAAATTTGCTATGATAAACAACAGTTTTATTATATCTCATGTATTCTCCATGTCAGAAATTTGGTCTGAGATTGGCTTGGTGCTTCTTTTGACATTAACTGAGATCATTGATGGCACACAGCTGGCTGGTGGGCTGATCTTAAGAGCCCAAGGTAGCTTCACTCACAGGTCTAGTGCTTTGGCAGAAGTGGCTGGAAGGCTGGATTCATCTGGGACTATCAACCAGAATATGTACATGTGATTTTTCCAGCGTGGTGGTCTCAGGGCTGTTGAACTTCTTAAATGGCAGCTGGCTTCTCCTGGATAAATGGTTCTAAAAGGGAGGTGATTCTGTCCCCCAGGGGATATTTGGCAATGTCTGGAGATATTTTTGGTTGCCACACTGGAGGAGGGGATGCTATCTGCATCTAGTTGGTAGAGTCAGGGATGCTGCTAAACATCCTACAATGCACGGGACAGTCTCCCTCAACAAAGAACTCTCTGGCCCTAAATGTCATTGATATCAAGGTTGAAAAGCCTTGTCCTAGAGAGAGCATCCCAAGGGTCAAGCAGAAGCTTCATGGCTCTTTTCAACTTTGACTTGAAAACATGCAGCATCAGATTTAGACCAGATTTTAAGAGAGAGGGGAATTAAACTGGGTTTCTTGATAGGGGGTGGTGAAATCACCTTATAGAAGAGCATCTAGGCTGGGAAATATCATCACAACCATCTTTAGAAAATATAATCCGCTGCAGGAATTGTCAGGGAAATCTGAATGTGATCAGTGCCATGAAAAAGGAGTGAGCATAATGCATTAAGGATGCAGGAGATGCTGTTGCTTCTGGTTGGATGGATGTGATGAGGTTTCCTGAAAACATAATTAAATGGTTTTTAAAAATGACAAATTAAACCTTGAGAGAAGAGTAGTGTTCTGAAAAGTTCAGTTGGAGGGGAAAACATTCTAGACAGAGGGAACAATAGAAATAAAGGTATCAACTATTAGGATCAGCAAACTATGCCTTTTGGGCCAAATCCAGCTTGTCACTTATTTTGTAAGTAAAGTTTATTAGAACCCAGGCACATTCATTGAGTAGTTAAGCACAGAGACCAGATGGCCCAAGAAGCCTAAATAATTTACTGTCTGGCCCTTTATGGAAAAGTTTTCTGACCCCTGGATTAGTTCATTAATTTGTTTATACAACAAATGCTTGTTAAGTGCGTGCTATATTCCAGAAATTGTATCCTATGTTGAGTATATGAGCAAAACAGACAAACAGCAAAACAGATAGAAAGAAAAAACTTCTATCATGGAGGGTGGCCTTAACAATTACAATATTTGAGAGCGCCAAAGAAAACTAAGTCCTGCGCTTGAGAATATTGAATCCTTAGGAAGAGTGATCTGTAGGCTTTATCACGATGATGACTCAACAGGTAAGACCTGCCAAAGGAAAAAGAGCCAAGCATGGGATGTGAAGGACAGAGATAAGAATTATCAGGAAAGCGAAGGGTATACACAAGGTTCCTGAGGCAGGAAAGACCTTGGCTTGAGAGAGTAATTGACAAATGGCCCATGTTGATGGGATGTGGAGAGCAAGCTGGAAAGTGTGGCATGAGGTGGGGTTGAAGGTCAGGCGTGGGCCAGGTCTTAGAGAGTCTTATGGGCCATGAGAAGGATATATGCTTTTTAATCCATTTTTAACGGAAAACCACTGAGAATTTTAAGAAGGAGAGTGAAATAAAACAATTTTCTTAAAAAAGAAAAAGAAAGAAAACTCTGGCTGCTGGGTGGAGATTAGATAAGAGGTAGATAAAAGAGAAATTGAGAGATAAGTGAAGCATCTGATAAAGATTCTAGGCAAGAAATGATGGTGGCATGATCTAGAAACTGTGTTTCTCAAACTTTACTGTGCCCGTGCGTGACTTGGGAATCTTGTGAAAATGCAGACACTGACCCAATAGACATGGGATGGGGCCAAGATTCTTTGATTTAAACAAGTTCCCAGGTGATGTGATGCCCTGGTCCACAGACTACACTTTGTGTAACAGGAGTCTAGAGGTAAAGACATAAAAAGTAAGATTTTTAAAGTGTTTTTTGAATCATTCATTTTACTAACACTTTTCCATGACTAGAAATCTTTTTTTTTTAAAGATTGGCCCTGAGCTAACATCTGTTGCCAATCTTTGATTTTTCTTTTTTTTTATTCTTCTCCCAAAAGTCCCCCAGTACATAGTTGTATATTCTAGTTGTAGATCCGTCTAGTAGTGCCATGTGGGATGCTGCTTCAGCATGGCCTGAAGAGCACTGCTGGCTCCATACCCAGGATCTGAACCAGCGAAACCCTGGGCCACTGAAGCAGAGCCTGTGAACTTAACCACTTGGCCACAGGGCTGGCCCCGACTAGAAGTTTTAAAGTAAGTTTGTAAAACAAAATCATACAAAAGAGAAAATCCAGCCCAGGCACTTTCAATCATTATAAATAAGTCAGTGCTACGTGAGAAAGCCTTTTACAGAGCTTCAGATATGGGACATAAGCTGAGAGCTAGAGTTTGAGAAAAAGGATGAAATTCCAGCCAGTTAATGAGCAAATGCCCGGGGGATGATAAATTTTATTAATTTTCCTAATAAAATTTTATTGAGTGAGTCAAAATGAAGAAGAAATAGTCCCTGCCTTAAAAGATCTCTTTTAAGCATATATGTAGCAAATTCACGAAGAGAGAGACATGGAATTATAACATGTTGTGAAAAGCATTTCCAACAGGGTCAAGGCTAGAGTGTTATGGGATTTCCAAAGGGTGGTGGTCTTGTTGTAAGGTGCCAGGAAGGATCTCTAGGTTGACCTTCAAGGGATAACTAGGAGTCAGATAACAAAGGAAGAGGAGAATGTTCTAGGCAGAGGAGATGGCCCAGAGTTTGGAGGAGTATGATGAGAGACACCTGCTGCTTTTTTCAACACAAGGACTTATGGTGCTGGCAGTCAGAAGGTGTCTTGTCAGACTTCAGACTGATGTATAGTGTATATAATGTGTACAGTGCCATTCACTGTAGTCGATTCAAACTAGCAAGAATTTCTTTCTTTTTTTACTTGCATTTTTCTCAGTTCATCCTCTTTTTTTTTAATTGTGGTAACATTGGTTTATAGCATTATATAAACTTCAGGTGTACATCATTGTATATTTCGATTTCTGTGTAGATTACATCATGTTCGCCACCCAAAGACTAATTACCATCCATCACCGCACACGTGCCTAATCACCCCTCTCACCCTCCTCCCTCCCCCCTTCCTCTCTGGTAACCACCAATTCAATCTCTGTTTCAGTGTATTTGTTTGTCATTGTTTTTGTCTTCTATTTATGAGTGAGATCATATGGTATTTGACTTTCTCCCTCTGACTTATTTCACTCAGCATAATACCCTCAAGGTCCATCCATGTTGTCACAAATGGTTGGATTATCATCATTTCTTATGGCTGAGTAGCATTCCATTGTGTATATATACCACACCTTCTTTATCCATTCCTCCCTTGATGGGCATCTAGGTTGCTTCTAAGTCTTGGCTATTGTGAATAATGCTGCAGTGAAAATAGGGGTGAATGTATCTTTATGCATTCATGTTTTCATGTTCTTTGGATAAATACCCAGCAGTGGAATAGCTAGATCATATTGTAGTTTTCTATTCTTCCTTTTTTTGAGCAATCTCCATCCTGTTTTCCATAGTGGCTGCACCAGTTTGACTCCCACCAGCAGTGTATGAAGGTTCCCTTCTCTCTGCTTCCTCTCCAACACTTATTGTTACCTGTCTTGTCAATTATAGCCATTCTGACTGGAGTGAGGCGATACCTCATTGTAGTTTTGATTTAGCAAGAATTTCTTAAGCTGCTAGTGTGGTCCTGAGCATAGTAGAGACTTGAGAATAAAAAAGTATTGTCAATAACACTGACTAATGTCTATTAGTAACTAATAACAGAAGAATGCACTTGAGCCCAGAGAAAGAATATGACCAATTCATGTAACTTAGCAGAGGCCCCCCAGCACATGAGTAGAAGAAA